CAGATGATGAGGGCGATGACAGCAATGCCTTGATTGATCCGCGGTGTATAGTTGTAGGGGGGGCAGGTGCTACCGGTACCGGTTCGGGTGCATTAGCAGGAGCTGTTTTCAATGGGATCATGGCCCGCATAGCCTTGTGATGGTACTCTGGTGCAGCCATTTGCACAGGTGGAGGAGCGCCACGAGGCCTACGAAGCGAGCTGAATTCAGCAAAAGACTCTTGTATCGACGAGTGATGTGGTGGCGTAGCATTGGAAGGGGTGGAGCTAGAAGAATGCGGTGATGTCGGGTCGAGCGGGGGTGTAGGGTGGAAGTGCCCTTGGGGAGTGGATGTTGAGTGATAGGCATATGTCGAGGATGGCGTATTGAGACCATAATCATGGGAGGCGGACACCGAAGCGCGGTTCTGATGGGAAGACGTGTACTGATCTGAGTAGCCACCAGGGCTGGAAACGTGCATAGGCGGATAAACAGGACTATATTGAGTCTGCTGCACGGATGGATGAGAAGATCTCCCAAGTGATGGTGAAGGGTAGGCGGCGGTGGCATATTGGTGCGCAGTCTGTGCATATGCGGCATCGTGAGCGTACACTGTCCCTGGACCCAGCAGTCCAGGCATTCCGGTGAGCCCAAGTTGACTGAGGCTGTCAGCATCAAAATACGACGTTGGTGAGAACCGTCCGGATAGGTCCTGGGGAGCGCGATTGTTTCCGGTCACGTCCCGGCCAAGGGTCACAAGAAATTCATTACCGCAGCAAGCTCCTCTGGTGTGCGGACGTCAAAAGACACTGAGCGGGGATTAAACTCGTCATAATGTACACCGTCTTGTGCATATGTTAGATTATTGAGACGTTCCACCATGTCTGTGAATTCGTTCGATCAGATATTTTTTGCGCACAAAATGAGAGTGTATACATACGGTTGTCGTAAGCAGGATTAACTTTCCTTTTCTTCATTTCAGTGAAGAAATCATCGACAGTGTAGTCAAGTGACCTCTTGTTGCGATTTGAGGCGCGTGCGTCGGATTTAGTACTGTCCCAAGAAGGTACCTGATTGTGGAGAAAGGGGTCGTACGACGGAAGAGGCACATGACGAGGATGATTATCAAGTTCCGGAGAGGGAGTGGGCAAGGCACTGTAGTGGCCACCTAAGGTCCGACGTTAGCGGATGTCATGGTGGAGATCGTGGGACTAACCGTCTGCTCCTATAGCGGAACGTGGGCGTGCACGAGCGAAAGGGACTTTGGAAGGCAATGCGCCCGGCGGCGGGCCTTGAAGTTTACCAGAAAGCGACCTATTGAGAGTGCCTTTTGATGGAACAGCATCTCCGCGAACACGAGAGGCGTAAGCAGGATCATTTACGGTAATTGCTTTGGAGTGCTTGTGCTGCGCATGGTGCTCCTCTGTGTGAATTTTCTCGTGTTTTTTGAGATCTTGTGGGCGCTTGAATGACTTTTTGCATATCTGGGGAGGAGTGAGCAAAACTGAACGGTGAAAAAAAACCAAAAAATATATCGAACCTCGCAGACATGCGGCTTCAATGGAGTGTGGACTAGGAGGTAGTTTATATTAATAATGAATTATAATAAGCGATAGGAAGGGCATACCTCGGAGGTGACTTGTGATATGATCGCGTTTGGCACAGGAGGTCCCACAATCCTTCCATTTGCAAGTGAGACATAAATTATTTGTACTCTTTCGACCGATATGGTCGTTACAGAGATGATTGTAGAGAACCTCTGGATCTGTGAAAGTTGCCGAGCAATCGACCCATTGACAATTGTAGGATTCCGAGTGTGATGGAATAGAGACTGAAGTGTCTGGTGGGGGTGATTGTGAAGGAGCTTTCAAGGATGAAGCTGTAGAGTTGTGAGAGGGAGGAGGAGGAGAATCTGATGGAGGTTGCATGAGGTAGCCGAGTGGGATGAAGTCTGGGACAAGAACGGTCGCGGAGTGTAAGGAAGTCATTTTGATTTTATAAGAAGGCTGGTCTCCTTTGTATGCCAAGACAAGACAGAGTCTTGGCGTATAAGAATGCCAGCGTGCCAAGAAATTGCTTCCTTGGCACCAAGACCGATCACTAGTGTCGGAGATCACCGTGTTCGATTTTAACCCTAATTGGGTTACCTTGCGGTTGAATTCGGAATACAACGTTAAAGCAAGTTTTGACCACAACAACACCCAGAGTTCTCGCCTCCGTCAATCTCCATCTAGCTTCCCCCTAGAAGTTCCCTCTTGACAGAACTCAGACCGTGCGTGCGTTCTAGATCAGTTCTTTTACTTCTTCATGTTCTCACACAGGCTCAAGCCGGAACGGAACGGTGTCAGAGTCAAGCACATAGTAAACATGGACTCTAGGACCACCGGATTCGTACGGACAGAACGTACATACGGAGTCGACGGACTGCGGACTTTTGAAAATCCCGGTTTCCTTCACTATGGGGTGATGCCGACTGGACTCTCCAATTCCGGATACTGCCGAGAACAACGGTAAATCCAAATTCTCATGGCGGAGACATAGTACAGGAAACTAACGGGATGCCAGGTACGGACACATGTGAACAAACTGTTTCAGGCTGTCTCTGGGATAACTCAAACTGCTGATGTCCACAACCAATGATTGCGCTGACTCTTCCGTTCTTCGCAGAATTATCGGTAATTGATTTACTACAGCAGTAAATACTTATTCCTCCACCTGAGAAATCATTCACCCGTAAGCGGACTCTTTAGTGAACACAACATGCCAAGCACACGATTACTAATTGGGAATGAATTTCATTTCAGACTCTGACTTCATTTGCCAAGCCAGAGGACCGCCAAGAACATGTAGTGCCAAGCTTTGGTGTATGTACTCCTGACAACTCAAGGCTGTCCCATTGACCGCCTTTCAAATCTGAACAAGGTGCTCCAAACTTTCTACTGCGCACCACTTCGTATTTTTATGCGGCGTCTAATTATCCACTCCGGGTGTTCATCCAGCCGACTGACGGGTCCGAAGGATGACTGGCACTAGTGAGAATGAACTCAATCCATACTTCACTTGTGGTCGGCCTTTCCATAATAACCGGTCCCTTCGCAGTATAACCGCAGATTCAATGGCCTAGAGCAGCCCTGACCCCAGCGGTAGTCAACTGGAAAGGAAGAAGAAGGTCTTCTCCATTCACCATACTGATAAAGGTCACGCGGGTAAATTTCTTTCATGACCCTCGCGCGTAACGAGACCCTGATATGCAACTTCGAGCATTACCACGCATCTCCAAGTAACGACATGGGGAGCAAATCGCATTGCATTCATTAAGGCGGGCTGTAAGGTGGACTATAATCAAGAACTCGAATGAGTCGATACAAAGTTTGGTACCTTGTGCTCCACACCCTAAGATACAAGTAAATCCTTTTGAAGAATGACGTTGTCCCGGGCGACCGTATCGCTGTGCGGCTATAGGTAACCGGGGCTCGAAGTCGTGAGATTGCACGACGTTACACCACAGTCTCAATCAGGGCAATGAGTCATGGATAATCTCCTCGGAAGGAGTATCAGCGATAAATTACCCTTACTGAACACTGAACCTCGAATTCTTGCTTATTTAAATATGATCGAAGCCGCTCTTGTATCGAGATTGCTCTTTGCAAAAATGGAGTGAACACCCCGCTTGCATAAATGACACCAGTGCGATCCTTCCGAGTAGGCAAGGCCAGAACTTGGCGAGAAACATATGCCAAGGAGGTGAAAAAAAAAACCCCTACAAATGGAAACATAAGAGGCGACTCATGAGCGAGCGTCCCATGTCCCATCCAGGTACACATGTCAGCAATGATTTTCATTACCATCCACGCTGCCAATAAACAATATATTGCACGACCACCCAACGGCTATCAGGGAGTATTTATTAAAAAGATACGTACGCACAAATATTTTAGGGTACCATTGTCCAAGGATAGTGCCGAGTGCGCCCCACCACCTGTACCTAATGAGAAGCAGCCGTTTCAGTGGATATAGCTCTAAGAGGTTAACCTATCTCGAAAAAGACCTACAGCAGAACACAACCCGTGATATCACGTTTGGCACGAGGTGGGAACAAACTCCATTCACGGCATGGCAGACTAGCGCGAATCAGCTACTATCACTTATCGTGTATTTGGACATGCCAATTTATCGACTGTCATGTGCGTGTATTAGGAGGTATTACGCCGGCTACTGGAGAGTATATTGAATGTACTTACCGAGGTGCATCTAAAAGAGATACAAATAATTTATGTAACTCGGTGGAAATGCGACACCTGAAACCAATCAGTTTCACATCCTGTTGGTTACCGCCCGCTTGTACGAGCTCTGTGGGTATGAGGCTGCACGTTAAAGTTAATGGGCATGACGGAACGAGAACAGATGGCTATATGCATACCAAGCGGCTGCTCACGACGACGGGAGCGTCTATGTCCGTACCCGAAAACCCCCGACTCGGATACTGTCGCTGCAAGCGAAGGCCCGCCGAGAGGAAATCCGAGTCAGCACTTGTCAAAAGTCATTTGAAGCTACATACCTAATAGTAGACTGTTCACACCATCACTGCGCCGCCATGATCACGGGCTAACAATAAAGAGGTCTTAACCCACGCAAGACAGCCCACTGATCGGGTCTCTCGGGGTGCTGTGTTGGTGTCGTCGGTACAGTCATGCGAGGTGCTAAATCGGTGGGCACCAAGAGATTGTTGGACGGAAGGTTTGATCATCACGGAAATGGCGGTGGGTTAGATATTCGGCAAACATGAGGGAGTACACAATGTGGACATGGGGATATGATCATATCTCTTGTTTCAATCTCTCCCTCACTGGGCCGCAAGCGAATCACAAGTTGGATGGCTATCACCATTTTACGTTGGACTCAAAGTCCAGCGTAAGTATGCTGGACCCAGTTTTAAATGTCCTGATAGGTGACGACATAACGCGTTGTCACGTGCAAACTGGTCCATTAAGTTGCTTTTGAATACAGTTTACTCAAAGACCATGTCGCGATACCCAGACTATCTTTCACCGAACGCAACCCCTTCTAGACCATCCAACTCGCAGAAGTCGAGAGCAAGACGCGAGCCATCCGGTGTTTTCTCCTTGTTTCAGGCACCTCAGATCCAGCTGTTCAAGGAGGCATTTCAACTTATCGACCACGACAAGGATGGCTGGGTAACGGAATCTGATTTGCGAGAAATATTCTCAAGTCTTGGTGAGGATGCACTCATTGATTAATGAGTCGAGCGCTCATTCAGGTTTTAGGTATTTCGCCATCGAAGAGTACGCTAGATGGCCTGCTCAGCGCGCGCCCTGGTGGCCCTGGGCACAACAAGTCGCCTCCTGTGACTCCTTCGCGCGACTCGTCAGTTTCATCAGACAGAGGTATCAATTTTACCATGTTCCTCACCATGATGAGCGAACGACTTTTCGAGTTCGATCCAGAAGCTGAGTTGAGGGAGGCTTTTGAATGTTTCGACGAGGGCGACACGGGTACGGTTAAATCTGAAGAGATGCAGAAATGGATGGGAGAAGTAGGAGAAAGAATGGATCAACACGAAGTTCGTTTGAACTTTGCACCTGTTCTCACCGTCCGAGTGGCTGATTTCGTGCCCAGATTGACAAGTTCCTTAAGAGTTCATTCACTGATCGTCAAGGAAATTTCAATTACCGCGAATGGATTAAAGTGATACGAGTGAATGATGATGGTGATGAAGCAGGACCTGACATGACATGACACATGACATGGACAAGACGAGAAAACTTGTGCGAACATTTGTACTTTACCCATTGACTAGCATAGTATCATTACCACAATTGCATTCCTCGCAGGTCCGCAAGAAAACTGGTGATATGGCCACGTAGCCTTTCATGTTAACCGTGTTATGCCCACTCCCCTTTGAGAGGCTCTGCTGGGAATTGGTCCTTATCAAAGGCCAGTTCCTTAAAAATTTGTTCGACTCGTTCCTCCGATTCATAGCGGCTGACTTCTTCCAAAGCTAAACTCCAGTAAATATTTAGCTTCGGGATGATAGGACCAGACGTCACCTTCTCCCCGCCCATTTCCGAGGCTCTGATCATTTCCTTCCGTTCCCGTACGGGCGGGAATGAGAAGTAATTCGGCACCTTCGTGCTCCAGAAGTTCGATACAGTTACAATTGGTGAATCGGAGCCCAATCGACGAACGTCCTTTTTCACCTCTTCCAAATACGTGTTTCATGATGCCTTCTGAATACATCGCACGTCGACTCTCGGGCAATCCTACACGTTGACCAGCCTGAGCTTCTGCGTTGGGATTTTTGACTTGGATTACGAAAGAGGATGCAATATGAATCCCAAGTGCTTTTTGGACATCTCCCAACTCGGTCGGGTGTGAGAGGTGGTATCCGAGATGAGTGGCATTTCTTGATGGGACATTCCCTTGAGAGTTGACAATTGCATACACACCACGGCCTGCGAGGCGAACGGGTGGTGTGTGACGTGTACCTGACGACGGTTTCAAAATGGAATCGTCACTAAGGGTAAAATCATACCCCGGGTTTTTGTCTCATAAGTCTTTTCCCCCAACTTCTTCTCCAGGTCATGTAAATTGTCGCCGAGGAATATTACTGTCGCCCAAATTGGGACGTGCCTTTCGTGTTCAGGGTCAGGGAGTTTCTTCTTCCCCACAATAATCAAGCGGAAGTGTTTTTTATCCTTTGTCGTTGATTCAGGTGGAGGTGCAGCGTCTGCGCCTTGCGCCACAAGGTTCATCTGCTCCGCATCTGGACCGGAGACATCTTTACTCTGCTTAATTTCGCCTTGCACGCTTAATGACTCGGATGAACTAGGGACAAGGAGCACATGGAGTTTGCCGACGTCGTCTATAGAATGAACTTCTTCATGCTGGACTTTTGGGCGGTAGAAGAAGTATATATGACCACGCTCGATTACCCCTGAATAAAATAGGTTCGACGATAATGAAGCACTCGGGAGAATACACTAACCTGGGGTGAATGGGTATTCATTTGTATCAGCTTCTTCTGTCTTCGGCCTCTTCGCCTCCGTCTCTTCTCCTGTTTCAGCCTCAAGAGCTTCGCGCTTCTCACCGACCTCCTGTTCGATCTTCACTTGTGCAGAGTTGTCCTCATTTTTTATTCGCCTTTGTCTTCGGGGACGAGAAGGACTCCCATTGGAGCTCATACTAGGGGCAACTGGCATGTTGTTGTGGTGTGAACGAAACGATGAGGATTACATTGGGACAGCCCCGTTGACGTCATAGTCGCTGTACGGGGTCGCCCTGACCGTGCTGCTTTGTTGATCTTTATCCCCATTGATAACAATGCTCGAGGATACAGATCCGCTATAAAGCCTATCGACCTCCTGTTTCATCCTGTTTCATCCTGTTCCTCGACAGCGCACAGGCTACGCACCGAGAAATAATATGTATATCCGTGACAAGGTCGTGATGAGTCACGCACCCCTGGGTAAGACCGGCTATTTAGGCGCTTTTCCTTAACTTGGCGGCTGCAGTCACAAGCTTAAGCAGCTCTTCATGTCTGCTCTCAAGTTTGCAGTTTCAGCACTCAACCGCGAGAAACCCCATGTAAGTTCAGGATATCGCTCTTACTCGCTCAGACAATTACGATCCGCTGCAGTCATCTATTACCGATTGGGTAGACATTCTCACCTCACCTTCATATAATGATGAGGCGTATGATGGGTAGGGACAATAGTATCTTGAAATGGATGCGAAGCTCATTCAACGTTTTTAAGAATCCCAGAACTAGTAGAATCAATTGCGCTACAACCAACAGGGTGCGCTTGAAATCCGGACCTAACATTGTTTAATGGTAGTAACCGTTGATGCGTTGGGCGTCCACCCCTTACGCTAGAACTCCCGAAGCATCCAGAGCAATACGAAAGAAGCTCAAACATGGAGACGCACACCATCAGTACCGTGCACTTGTCGTACGTTTAAATCTCTTATCGGTGGAAGCAGATTGACTGATAGGACTAGATACTGAACGCACTTGTCGACAATGGTCCCCAGAAATTTCAAAGTGAGTTTACATGCAAATATACGACTGGCTTTGGCTTATGGAAACAGCCACGTTTGCCGACGGCCAGCTGGTTGACGCCATAAAGCAACTCTCAACTGATCCCACGACGGACCAGAAAGTCAAGAAGAAGCTCATGGTCGTTCTTGCATCATGGCACTCCCAGTTCAAGGATGATCCATCGATGTCCGTTGTTGCAGGTCTCTTCAGACAATGTCGCCCTGCAGATCGTCGCAGCCAAGGATACTCAAATAATGCAGATCCACTTAGTCACGGGCCATCATCTGACTACGAAAGGAAAATGAAAGAGAGGGACGAAAAGGAACTGGCGAAACAACAAGCTAAGCTGGAGAAGCAAGAAGCGAAGAAAAGGGCACGTAAAGCTGAGGAAGATGCAAGGAAGAAGAAGGCCCGGTCCCGCCGACCCCCCTTCGACTTTGAAGCTGTGCGTGACCCCTATTGTCAGGCTCCACCAAACTAACGCGATAACAGGAGAAGCCGCAAATACTGACAACCATCGCTAACGCAAGCCAAGCGTCCAGTAACCTGGTTAATGCTATAAAGCTGGTGAATAGCGAGAAAGAAAGCGTGGTCTCGAATGAACGTGTGCAGGAGTGTCTCGGGAAGGCACGTGCTATCCGTAAGCCCATAGTGCGCTATATCCAGGTCTGTATTTCTTTCTTTTGTTGTTGATTTAGGTACTCATGACTTAAACCAGCTCGTGGAGAACGAGGAAATAATCGGAGCGTTAATCGAGACGAACGAGCACATCATCACCGCCCTGCAAATGTATGTCAATGTAGGTGGCCGCTTTCTAGCATAAATTCGCCGTTCAGTGATCTGCGTTCAGCTTTCAGCTACCGATCAGACGACGGCGTCAGATCCTACAGCGAATATACAAGCCGCAATGGCGACGACACACCTCAGCCCAAATAGTACAGGCGAGCTGTCGGTTCAGCAACGAGCAGCTGTAGAACAATACAAACAGCAACTACACGATTATGAGGAGCAAGAAAGAAGCAGGAATCATATCCACGAAGATCTTCGAGATCTATCGTTTGGTTCTCTGGGTAATGAAGAGGGGAAATTGCCCCCACCCATGAGACCAACCGCACATCGTAACATTTCACCGGATTCGGTGTGGGATCAGGGCAGAGGAAGTCTCTCTGATTTCAGTGACTACGAGAGCGAGGGAGAGGAACAGCCGAGAAACGTCGCACACCAACCTGCAGCGTCTTCAAGCTTGCGACGCTCAGATAGAATCGTAGATGACGAGGATCCATTCGCCGATCCGTTTGCGGATTGATATCGAAGTATACCCAGAAGGATGACCGCCGTGGGATAGGCAATATATTTTATGCACATGTAGTCAATCTTTCGTTATCTCTTGTAATAACAGATTCTTGCTGGAATTATATGATGATACTAGGATGAATTATACTGCATTAGAAGAAGTGTTTGGTACATTGTGCGGTACTCCTGCTGAAGTCCCGAGGAACAAACGCATGCAAAATCCACTAGACATCAACCTATCTTACAGTACAGCTTGCAAGGATGAAGCTTCAAAATGATGGCGACGAATAAACCAAAATCTGGGTTGTCAACCACTTTCTATACCGCTATCCATTTCATTGTTCACTACTTGTTCACCGTTTTGAGGAGATGCGCCGTTCATTTGTTGTTGGTGTTGACGAACATCTTGATGGGACTGCTGGGGCTGCTGATGCTGATGAGGGGCCATCGCGCCTCCGTGCATACTCGGGCCAAGGACTCCAAAGCCTGGGCCCCCTACAACGCCCATCGGGCTTTCCAAATATAATCGGATGAGAACGCTTTCAAGAGCAACAACAGTGGGCCCGGGGTAATCAAATGCTCGAGCATGTTCACGAATGGAGTTAAATAGAATGCTCATGCGGTCCCATAATTCTTGCTGAGATGGTGAACCCTGAGGAGGACCGATGTGAGGATAGCCGATTGCCGGAGGTCCAGGGAAAGCAGAGAACGGATGGGGCAGATGGGCGAGTGGAGGATTTGAAGGATAGTTTTGGACCTGTGTTTGAGATGAAGTAGATGGGCTCTCCTGCTGCGTGGCAGCGGGGGCCGTAGAAGCTGCTTGTATGGCGCGCTTCGATTCTTCCTTCTCGGCTAGAACTGTTTGCCGCCTACCGCGACGGGTAAATGGCAAGTTTGCCAGCCCGATTGGATGCGAATGCTCAGCAATGTCTATGAGATCGTTCAGGCAAGGCGACACCCCCGACACTTGCATGAATACTCACAACAAACTCGAACTTCATCAGTGTCATAATAAGTCTTGTAGCTGATGGACGCCAGACACCCCTGCCCATCAAGCTGAGGGAATGCGTGAACAGGCCATACTGTAGATCGTGCTACTGATACGAACCTTCCTACTGGGTACCTTGCGAACGCGCTCTGGATGTTTCTTTACATACTTCTTACGACCGCTCCTTGAATGCCGGGCACAAACTAGTTTAGTATGGTCCTTGAAACGGGGAGGAACTGCCTTGCTGCCATGAGTGTCGCCCTTCACGAATTCAACCATCTGTGTTTCTTCCTCATGAGCCCTCCATTCCTGAAATGCAGCGAGATTTGGGAATATGAGAGTGTATCCATCGTCACTATCGCCACAACCGTAAGGTGACCTTGCAGTTGTCGACTTTGGGGGCGCAGGTATAGCAAGGCTAGAAGGCGCTGCGGGCGTCGATGTGGATGATGGGGGATTTTGTGAATAAGTTTGCTGCTGATTCTGTTGCAAATGTGGAGGCAAAGGCTGGGACAGAGCCAGTTGCCCGAGCCTGAAATGCTGGAAACTCATTTTTGACAAGGATTCCGAACAAAAAATGGTTGGGATGAAAGCAAAAAGGTGGAAAACTGGTCCCGCGTGTGACAACTTTATACAATGTCACGTAACATTTTGTCACACGCTTTCCTTTTTTCAACATTATGACCTCCTCCCTCAGAAATTCGTTGCATAGGCGAAATCATAAAGAGCGCTCGCAGCTCTCTCATCGTGCAAAATTTGGAATTTTAGAAAAGCACAAGGACTATGTCCAACGTGCACGGGATTATCACTCCAAGCAAGATCGTATAACGCGCCTTAGGCAGAAGGCAGCGGATAGGAATAAGGATGAGTTCTACTTCGGGATGAATAAGGAGAGGACGGTGCAGGGGGTGCATGTCAAGGATAGAGGAAATGTTTCTATGCCTATGGATATGGTTAAGCTCCTCAAGACACAAGATGAGGGCTATGTTCGGACAATGAGAGCCAACGGAATCAAGGCATACATTTTATGCGTGCTTGTATCGACTATTCGACTTATTCCTTGACAGAAAATCGAGAGGATCAAGAGCCAACTTACTGCCTTGGCTAACCTCATTGCCCCACAGGATGATAACATAGAGGATGACGGCGAGGACGCGTTGGATGAAACTGACCTGGAAACGCTTCGAGAGGCAGGTATCATACCCCCAGGAACAAAACGGCGTCCACCCCCACGTCACATTATCTTTGCTGAGAATGAGGTGGAAGGCGAGTGTATCTTGTGACGCCGTATCGTTTATGACATAATGACATATACACCGCAGCAAAACAATTATCTCAGCGGCAATCTTTAAACAAGGCCAAAACTACGATTGAAGTGGATGTCGAACGGACTGAAGTTGATCTCGGCTGGAAGACCGTGGAAAGTGCATCGTCTCGACGGAGACGGAAAAACAAATGCTCAGCTGTTGTATCAACGGATATTGTCGAGGATGCTGAAGAAATACGGCAACTTAATGTGGTATGCCCATATTTTCTTGTTGTCATCCGCTTCCTGAGAATTTTCACTCAGCAAAACCGGAAGCGACTCCTAAAAGAACTCGCTGCGCGACTAAAACGTGATACTCAATTGCAGTACACACAACGTGAACTAGAGATGCAAAGACTTTTGGCGGGTAAGGGAGGTCGGCGAAAGTTGCGTGGCGTCGAAGAAGTAGGGGCTGCGAACGATGAAGATGAGGACGAAATGGACGACGCGGCAGCTTCCAAGGCAAGCAAAGTGGATGAGAAGAATTACAAACCTCGGGTGTACAAGTGGCGTATAGAAAGAAAGCGATAGTATTATCGAAGTCCATGACAATCCATTGTGTAGCTCGACGAGTATAGTGCGAGTAAATATTGTACGAGTTCAGTCCCAGATCCGGATCAAATGATAGATTGCTAAATGTAGAAGGCGCCGAACGCTATGCTGCCTATGACCACCCAAACTGAGCTCCACCGACTGAAGCTTAAGTTCAACGAGGATGAAGTCGCACTCGGTGAGGTTGAACCTGTTCCTCCCGGAGTCGCAATGGGCGTGGCAGGTGAATAAGTAACGCCATTAGCGGTGGCAGCGACTTCGAACACAGATCCACCACCGTACTCATAGAACTTGGAACCATCAGAAAGAAATCCATGAAATAGTTGAATGTACGTACGTCAACAAGCATGAAATTTGGGTTTCTGCCCTGTTGGCCGGTGCAGAGACTGAACTGCTCACCCAGGGAATTTGAACCGGTGACAGCATTGGTTTGATTAGCTTGACTTGGGTCCGGAGCAGGTTGGCCAAGGACCAATGTATCCAAGAAGTGATTAATAAGGTACATAGATGTAGCAGTGGGGGTATTGGCGTTTGACCGGTTCACATTGCAATCAAACGACGTGGTGACGTCATACGCAGTTTCCCAGATGTTGGTAAATTCTGGGGGTAAGAGTATTAAGCACAGTCTCCGCGGGCTCAACTGTGTAACACACCGTCAATGATGTAAGGAACGGAGTTGAAGTTGGCGTTGGAGTCCATGAAAGTTATCAATCGCGTTCCCGAATCGATGAGGCTGCCAAGGGTCGGCCAAGCACTTTCAAGTAGCGAAGAGGAGGGCGGCGAGTAAGACATTGTGTCAAGCCCGACCGCTTTGAAGACAGTGTCATAACTACTCGGTGGAAGAGTATCAGAGTTGACAATGAGCAATGAAAGTACTGGAAAAGATATCTTGAGATAATGCCGTAGTTCTGCCTTCTATCATGAAGAGTACTGACCTTCATTTGGATTGGCATCTAGCCAGGCTTTGACTATATGCCAAAATATGAGGAAAGCAGCCTGAAGGTGAATTTGGATTCTCACCAGTTGTGAGGTAAGCCTGAAGGGTTCCGCCATCCAAGAGCGACTACAATACAGTGAGTACGGCATGTCAATTGGCACGACAAGTACGTCACATACACAGCTCGTGTGGCAAAGATGAATGACTCCACTCGAGTTATGAGCCTGCATTTGCAGCATTCGAATCCCGTCATTCAGCTGTTGTGTAACTGACAGGAGTCATTTTAAGTCAAATTTGAAAGAAGTTTGTGCTCACTGTTGTAGTCCTGGGTTGCGAAAACTTCAGGAGAATAATCGAGTAAGTATCTGCGTGTACAAGGACATTGGAACTCACTGTTGTTGGTACCAACAGCATAAGAATCATGGGCACCGACAAAGGTGACGTTTCCGAAACTACGGGTACACAGATCAGGACTTCCATTGCAAATCGTGGCACGGCGGAGCGGCGATTCGGCGGGCGAAGCATAAACCAAGTTAGAAACGAGTGATATCATTGCAAAAGTGGACAGAGCGACCTGCGCCCTGGTGAAAGAAAACGATGGCATGATGAATACGTTCAAAGCAAGTGAGTGAGACGACAAAAATTACAGAAGGGGACTAGTTTCAGGCTGCATAGCCTATATAGAAACCACGCCACTGCGGCGCCGCCGCATGAAGTAAATCGAAGTAAAGTTTAGTAAAATTTGATAATCATACATGGTGAGATGGCCGAGCGGTCTAAGGCGCCAGACTAAGGATCAGCTCATTAGATGAGCAAGTTATCTGGTCCTCCGGGGCGTGGGTTCGAATCCCACTCTCATCAATACTTTTGCTGCGTTTCGCCATGAATTTTTAAGTGCGATAAATATAATTCCCGCTGCCCTCTTCGACAATATTATATTATGTACATGAGATTTGCGAGAGGTACCGCTAAAGTAATCCTCAGAAGGCGGTTGTGACGATCGTAATGATACACAGTGCGATTCGGCAACGAACGCAAGAAGTAGCCGATTAATTTTCCAGTAATAGATAGCTCAATCACGTCAAAGTTTCTGTGATACTGAAATGCACATGGTCCCCCTCGCCTAGAGTAAGCCTGACTGGCAGACGGGGATCAATGCGCACAGGAGCGCTCGAGCCAACAAAAAAGTCTCCACGACTAAAATTCCTAGTGATGGCGGCTGCCTCTTCCTCTGTGAGATTACGGGGCCGTTTGTTGGGCCGAAAGGTAGATGAAGATGCGCCAGTAAATGCACCATTGTAATCATAATATTGATGCTGGCTGAGAGTAGGTGCTCCATGGACATATCCCAGGGGTGCCTGAGCAAATGTAGACACACCAGGAGCTGAGAGATTACAAGATCGTGAATAAGTAGACTACGTTTCAGCGAAGTCAAATAATTACTTTGATGCGACTGATTTTGGTCGCTTTCAGGATCTGGATATGCGCATGTTGCACCGATACCTCGTTTTAAGCAGCTCTAATGGGAGGTACGCGGTCAATTTATTGTAGAACGAATATGTTTGTTCGAGATCTGTACCAACCTGGCACGGCAATACCTCACTACAACGAGTTTTACCGGTATGACATGCAGTACATGCTCGCCTTACTGAAGGGGCTTTTGCTGGACATTATATATACATATATGTGTCATCGTTGACGATTATGGTGCCAAAGCTCACCTTTACGAGTTGCTGCTGAATCGTTGACTGGCGATGGGCCATTGGAGGGATGTTGTTGCTGCTGTTGAGCGTCGGCAGCATGTTGATGAAGTTGATGTAGCTGTTGTGCGTCCATGGCCGACGCCGCGTCATGCGCCGGTGTAGATGCCTCACTAAGAGCCGACATGGGTGTTGCGGAGCGGTGAGGTTCCGACGCTGTTCGGTAAAGCGGGAATATAAGTAATTCATCGGAGCGAAAATACCTATTTAATTGATATTTATCTCCATTTATGCGTATTTGTACATCCGGTAGCTTCCGCCACACCGGCCAAGGCATGGTTCTGTGCCGTAATTACCGTACCGGTGATCGATTCATTCCGGGTCGGTAACAGTTCTTGCCTGCACCACCATGTCATCCCAATCTCCGTCTCAGCCACCTCCCTTCTCCGATTTCGAGTATGTATTTGATCCTGCTCTCGCAAGTTTATCCCCTCCTCTACTTCCCATCCCATCATCTGCAGACCTCTTCTCTCCATCCGAAACAACTGATCTGCTAGGATTCTTGGACAACTTTAATTGGGATTTCGAATCGGATCCCGCTCTCACTGCGCCCTATCCTGTGCAGCAAAGCGCGCGTGACCTAGATAATTCGGGAGAAATTATGTCGCCGATACTCCCAGAGCGATCTGAGATGCCATCAGATACTTCAAACGCCAGACCTTCATCTTCATCGTCCGCAACTTCGTCTTCTCCCTCGAAACAAGATTCAACAGGCACAAAGCGCAAGCGAGCTTCTGCAGCCCCGTGTCAGACGGGGAGAGCCAAAGTCCTTCTATCGACCCCTCAGAAAAGACTCAATCATATCATGTCAGAGCAAAAGCGTCGTAACGCCATTCGTGAGGGATACGCCCAGTTGATATCCCTTCTCGCCCCAGCTGGTGCACAGGCTATTGACATGCCTACCAGGGGTAGACCAAAGGGCAGCGGTAGCAGGGGGAAGGGTCACAGCAAAGGCAAGAGCGGGGTCCTCTTTCGAACAGTTGAGTATTGCCGGTGGCTCGAGGAAGGGAGGGATGCTTTGATGGATGAAGTACTTCGTCTTGAAGCAGCCGCAGGCATTGTCTACCCGTCTCCGTAGTAACGGGTATGCACCAGCTTTATTAAGATAATCTTCCGAAACCGTAGTGAGTAGTTCGGTCTTTATGCGTCCGGAGCTCATCAGTCTTCTAGAATATAGGAAATGCATTCCCCTTATTCACTGCCAGTTCAGGGTTACAGAACCCTGGCGGCTCCTTGTAAAGCATGCCCACAAATTCCCATTTTTGCTCGAGGCTGCAGCTGTTTATATTGTATACTTGGTCGAATTTCTCGACGTGAATTGTATTGTACCTTTCCATAATTCTTATCATGCCTTTCGACGTACTGCCACATAAATAGACACAGTTTCTCTTTCTTTGGGGACCGCATATTGAATTGCGAGGTTATGATTTTCTGTCCGGCTACTGTCTTGTCCGCTTCCCACCTGCAGGTCGACAGAAATAAAACACAAACTTGCCTTTCAAAATCCCGTGGTTCCAGAGTACAATACCAGCGGCGTGTGTGCCAAGATCCGCCTTGATGCCAGCTAGTGTCTACAAGTGGTGCGTCAATTTTCTGAAGCGGGACAACATTTTCTTCGGGATATTGTCTGACCGACTAATATTGTTTGGCCCCAACACTTACCCTCACCGATTCGTCGATCGGTTGAATATTGAATATTGAAGGGCGACATCACGGACAGAACTCTCAACAACTATCTTGGGCTGTGTATTTAGGCGGGTACGTATCATGCGGTATCGCGTAATCTTCAGCGCTGACTCGTAACGTATGCATCATGCATCTACTAAGTGTGAGCCTCCATATGTATGGCAGCCAAGAGTAGAAAGAAGGACGCCGTGAGGGACGCCGCTGTCTACACAAGCGTGCATCTCGGAGAGCCGGAGGAACCAAATTGGCTCGGTTGCTGGATCCGCAAAGGTTGAGGGCGAGGATACAGGATGAAGAATTTATTAGGCTCAAGGTCGGTCACAGGGTGCACCCTACTCACATGTGGCTCCGTGTATTTGTAACCTGTCTACGGCGGTGCTCCTCTCAACCAGGTTTACTCCTTCACGCGCACGGCGTTCGCACAGTAGCGACAGATCTTAAGCTCCAAGGGCTGTCTCAAAAATTGCGTGTGTAGTATTTCTCGTACGCAAATATTGGGCTTAACATAACATTTGTTAGCCCATTAACAAGTCCGTATGATACTACAAATACACTGGGAAGAATATTCCAGGCTTCTGAGCGCATAGACCTACGAAGGCATTGACAAAACCAATAGAACAGACAGTCACGTATTGAGAACTCTTACAGAACACTCCTGTGCCACTTGTCCTCAACACCATCAGCCATCGACAAGTATGGCATCAAGTCACTCGTCAAAAACTCGCTTGGCCATTGTTGCCTGACTTGATCCATGAGATACTTTGTAGCAATTTTCAAGTGATCATCCTTGACGCTTGGGGCGATCTTCTGGACGCCGGGTGCTTGCTCTGCGATGATGCGGTCGACATACGGCGCGGTAATCTGCTCGCCAGTGTCAAGACGTGAGCTGTACTTCACCCACTGCCAGAGCTGCACCCGCGCGATCTCAGCAGTAGCGGCATCCTCCATCAAGTAGCTGACAGGGATGCAGCCATTGCCACCGATCCAAGCTCCGCAGTAGGCGAGAGCCACAGAGACATTGGAGCGAATGCCGTCCTCGGTAATCTTTCCGGAAACATTGGAGCTCAGCAAGTCCGCCGCAGCGACTTTCACATCCTCACGTCGGACGTGATACTACAACGTATGGATGATAAGCATTATGAATTATGACAAAGATAAAAATGTCGTAGGTGCGAACCTGATTAGGACCCAGCATATTTTCGTCAAACACCTTGCGAGCGATCTGGTTGATCAAGGGGTGCGCAATCCATGTTCCATCATGGCCAGCCGTGACCTCACGAAGCTTGTCTGCTCGGACCTTCTCCATTGCCACCTCGTTGGCTTTAGGGTCATCTTTAATGGGAATTTGTGCAGACATGCCGCCCATAGCAGCAACCTTCCTCCTAAAAACACGTGTAAGCACTATGATAACACGCAGAAAATAGCCTTACCTGTGACAAGTTTGGATCAGAAGACGCACATACGCATCCATGAAAGGCACAGTCATAGTAACATCCTTCCTGTCTGGTAATACGGCACTTCTATCGGCCCTGCGCTTCTTGATTGCACTAAATATATAATCCCATCTGACCATACCACGTGAGTGAGCAAATTGACTATTCACAACAAACCATCTATATTCCCTCACCTTCCGCAATTGAGTCCGGCAGAGTGGTTTCTCAACTCAAATAGAATTTCTTCCATCTGGAATGCTGCGGGAAGCGTTTCGATGAGGACGGTTGCCCTGATTGTGTTGTGAGGTATTCCAATGTAGGACTGGGAAAAGAGGAAGACGTCATTCCACAGACGGGCCTCGAGATAGTGCTCCATCTTTGGAAGATAGAAGAAGGGGCCCGAGCCACGCTTTATGAGCTCATGAGCATTGGTGTAGAAGTAGAGCCCAAAGTCGAAGAGAGACCCCGAGATAGGGGTGTTGTCGACCGTGACACGTGTCTCGTCCAAGTGCCAGCCCCTAGGTCTACACAAAATATAAACAACTGAATGAGCCAGTATCAAGGATATCAAAACGTACCGGACAAGAAGGACAGCTGTGTTCTCAGACAACTTATATTGCTTGCCGCCGGATGAGAAGTCGATCTGTCGGTTAATTGCATCCCGCAAATTCACTTGACCAACAATCATGTTTGCGAATGTAGGAGCACTAGAATCTGGATACATTATATTAACACGATCATTAGCATCGTAAATGATCCGCGTACCTTCGAAGTCTGCCATGAAGGTCTTCGCACCACTGTTTAGAGCATTGATGACCATCTTCCGGTCAGTAGGACCCGTGATCTCAACGCGTCTGTCTTCAAGACCGGGTCCAGGGGGTGCGCAGTGCCATGAAGGTTCAGCACGGATGTGGGCTGTCTCAGGAGGAAAGTCAAGAGGTACTCCTGAGTCAAACCTGCGTTGTGCATCATCGCGCGCGGCTAGGAGGCTCTGTCTTGTAGACTCGAAGGTTCTATGAAGTGCAGCGAGAAATGCAACTGCACCATCGGTAAGGATTTCAGACTGGGCGTCCTGTGCGACCTTTGTGTGAATCTGAACACCTGCAACCATGATTTGGGAATGAATAGGGAGTAAGGAGTAAGGAGTAAGACGAGTGCGTATTAAGTAGTACTAGGTCTCGGGACTCCGACACACCGCGCTAGTGTTTCCGCGAGCATGTGTTTTTGACCCAATATTGACCCGTCGTTTTTCGGATGTCCATCGCACGTCCGAGTCCGCATTTCGGAATATACGTCATTGTTCGAGTCACTGTTTTGCGCCCTCCCCGTTCCCGTTCCCGTTTTTCGATTTTGATTGTCCTGGCCGCGCTTCTGGCAGTCGATCCTTGCACCACATATGTGACATACTCTCGCAGGCTGGTCTCGCGTTTTTGGACAAACATATGCATAGGTGAGTTGATGCAAGCACCGAGAAGACTAGTGACTGTCCCTCTAGGGACGTGTCAGCACACATGTACGTAAGCCTAGATCAACATGTTCACGCGTACTTGCAGGTCTCATCGACGAATACGCAATCACCACCTTGAGTTTTGCCTACTAGCGGTTCTGTGAGACCCGTACCAGTACTGCAAACCCAGGCTCAGGGGCGAGAGCTGTTTCGAGGTGTGGCGCCACAATGGACACCAAGGAGACACTAGTACTGATGGGATTGGATCGAGAAGCGCTGTTGCAATGGCCCGATTATCCGAAAATCGTGATCATAACTAAAATCTAGGCTCGAACCATAATGATACGCTGGAACGAAGGGACGGCGGTGAGATAGGAACCCACTGGCAGGATCTTGGTATGATATCGTAGCATGCAATGCAATATTACTTCCGTAGAAGCAGGGAAATACACTAAAACGCGAAAACAAACAATTGAGTGAACAAAATGGACAGAAATTATCCCCAGTCAACTTCCAATTCGTGAGCTAGCCAGTCGTCGTCTTCATCGTCTCCATCGTCAGCATAATCTTCGTCCTCAGCACTTTCATCAAAATTCTTGAGAGGTTCAGATAGCAACGGTGAAGGTTTACGGCTGTGATCCGAGAGCGACTCGGTATCTACCAATTCATCAGCAGTGACAGCCTCTTTCAGTTTGGATGCTCCACTTCGACTTGCGGCTAGTTTCTTGCGCTTGGCAAGGGGAGAACGAAGAGCATCGCCCAGCTTGTCACCAACCCCATTAGTCCCACTGTCAGAAGGTGTGACGCTTCGTAGCCTTTTGCGTTTCAGTCGAGGAGTAGTATTTGGACTACTGTAGGAAGGATGGAATTAAACCGGCAATTTGAAGGGCGGGATTCGAACCTTAGTTGACTTCGAGTTTCATCAAGCATGGCATCGTCGTTATCAGATAACACACTTCTCGCACTACTCCTTTCACTCATGGCATCATCTTCATCATCGCTCTCGTTCATAGCAGCTTCGACTTCATCATTGATGTCGTTCCAATCGATGTCCTGAAGCTCCAAGGACGCGCTGCCTGCTGGGGCAGGCTCCACGTCCCAGTCGTCTGCATCGGGCTCCGGATCTGAAGAAATCTGGTGTGGGTCGAGGATCGGACTAGAATTGGGAGCTGCGGCTGACGGGTCATCCAGTAAATATGGAGTCTCATCTTGTCGACGCCACAGTGCTATCGAGTCAGTGAACCAAGATAACCACACAATCTTGATTCCCCCTCGCTTCCGTGCGGCATCTACCTTGACTGTGCCATGCTATACAATAGAAGATCTATGAGCTAGAGTCGTATGAAAGATAGAGAGCGAGCGACCTTGGCGGCAACCACGTGGGTAATTCGACTGGATAGCTCAGTGTAGCATTGTGCCCCAAACATGTGAGCTATTTTCCAGATCTCAGTTGTTTCGGGCTTTGTATCAAGAGGTATCACACTGGAAAATAATATATGCACCCCTTGCAGAGTATCCACGCGCATTTGCGGAATAATTTTCTGCGGCGCAATTGATTGACGTTACATGAGAGATATAAACCACTTACTGTCACGTCATGGGCTTTAGAGCGTGTAAGGGTGGGCCGTCGTTTCTTACCTCGGTCTTCTGGCGATCTGTTGTCATATGAGGTAAAGAAGCGACGATGGACTTCCCCAAGTAGCTGTAATAAATTTAATTAATGCTATACTCTACAATGTGAAAGATACACACATAGCCAACCCGTTGAAGCTCGGTATCGTCGTTTTTCAATAACGCCTTGCGTGGAACTTTCTCTGCCTTGGGGCTTGCTACTGCCTTCGTATCGCTCTTGGGATGATGGGATGATGAATCTCCAGGTAGTGCAGTCGATCCGGTATCGTCAGACTCCAGCAGAGCTTCTTGCTTCTTGGCTAACGGACGCTCTTCGACTTGGGCTTCGAGCGCCATGGAATTTCGTGTTAGCATCGCCTTCGATTCCATCTCTGCTTTGTCGCGTTCTTCGGGTGTTGATGTTGGTAATGACGGGGTTTCGGATTCAGAAACAGGAGGTGAGGGCGGCTTGGCTAGTTGATCCAGTCAGCACGACTTGATGAAGACCCTTTCTAAAAAAAGACTCGCCAATAGAGGGAGATGGGACTGTGGGTGCGAGAGGTTCGATTTTGGGCAGGAAGGCAGAGTTAATGTCTCCTATGCCAACGAAAAAGTCATCTTGAAAAAGGAAATCAGTGTGGGGGTTTTAAGGCACGATATGACAACAACGGCACGAACACGGAATGACTTTGATAAGGTTCGGACTCCACTCCCAAACGTCTGCACGATCATCGATGATAACTACCATGGATGTATCACAGGGAAATAGACGTTGTAGACTTTTCTGCGTGAGACCTTGAATGATGTTGAGCTGCAAGATCACTATCAGATAAAGTCACTCACTCCCGCTTTCATCTCTACTGAGAATCCTTCCTCCAAATATTTTACCATCAGGGTCGATGGCAGCACAAACCTCTTCTGCATAGGCTCGAGTGCCCATGGTGTATACATGCATCTCATACTTTACCGATATATTCTGAAAGAATTCCTGGGTTCCAGGTCTTGTAGAAATGAGCTAGCCACTCTGACGATGAAGTAAAGGCCCTACGCACCGAGGTTTGATGTAATACATGCATCCTTCATTCTCGATTAGTTTCTGCTTTCCCTTTCCTTTGTTCCCGCCTCTTGGAACTGAGAGCATTCCAAACGATTCGGGACCCAGACGAAACTTTCGTACGTCCTGCAAAGCTTCCCAGTTTGGATTGCATTCGTCTTCAGCATCAGACGCTGTCCCGTCAGAATCGTCATCAGAAGGTCCGTCGTTTGGAGTAGTCGATCTCTTCTTGGTTTGTCTGGCCTCCCATGCCTCGCCTTCTGCGATCCACTCACCCACAGTCGGGTCGACCGTCGCATGCACTATGGTTTGGTCAAGATCGACGATGAGAGAAAGTTTCCTTGACTTGAGTAAATGGTCTGCTGTCTCCTTCTCTAACCTCCGGGCTTCCTCCAAGGAAACCGTTGGACCGAAGGCAGAATGCGTCATTTGGATAGATGCGCGCGACGCATCAGAGAATCCCGTATAATCAAATCTGAACATGCGTCAATAGAGTTCATGCGACCTAGTGATATACGCACTCTGTCATATCCTTCCCGCACAGCCCGCAAAGTCCCCCAATCTGAACTCCATGCTTGCATGGCTCCGTGATGCATATGATAGGCCTCTGTTTCGCCTTCTGGGTAGAGATGCAGTCGCCAGACTTGACCCTCCAGGACTCGACAGTTCCTTCAATTGAACAGTCCCATGTGCCAAACCGAGTTTCTGGCTTCGAGACTATTGCAGGGGATGAATACAGGAAGGAGTACGTCAATAGCCGGGTCCCGCGCTGCACAGTAGCACCTAGCTGGACATCGAGAGATGTGATTTTTATAGGATACGGTAGCGTCGGTGGCAAAAATATATCTGTCGGACTCGACATTTGGCTATCAGAGAGCCGAGTGCAAAGTTGATGTCGAGTGTAGACTTGAGCGATGACCTCGATGATGCACGAGACTGGATGACTTTGTTTACTCAACCGTATCGAGTAACTTTGACTCTTCCGCTAAATAACTTAAAACGACACTTGGTTCAAAGATGTCACCTCCGCTCTTGTTCTCCACAATTGAAGTTACAAGACAAGCGTTCTACAGGACAGCGCTGTCGTACGCCATCGTCAATCTCAAGCCAATCGTGCCAGGACGTGAGCTTAGCCCTTCGTACCATATTTCAATCTCAGGCTTATAAGCCGGACTTTTAGACGTGCTTGTAATCCCCAATCGACCTGTACCGCGCTTGACGGATCTCACTACAGCAGAGTTAACATCCCTCATCGCTTCTGTCCAAAATGTCGGTCGAGTGGTCGAGCGAGCGTACGGCGGTGACGCGTTGACCGTGGCATGCCAGGTATAACTACTGGCAGACGAACATATGACTCGATATTCACCTATACGGTCTAGGACGGAAAGGCTGCAGGACAGTCTATACCTCACGTCCACTTCCATATCATGCCTCGGAAATACCACGGAGACTACTTTTCGCAGAGAATGGATGATATATATCCTGCATTGGAGCAATCGGAAGCGGACTTGCCCCGCGACTTACAAAATATCAAAGTGTCTAGCACCACGGTGCAACATCACCAGTTCAAAGTCGATGCAGACGAGGACAGGTTGCCGCGGACGCTGGAAGACATGGAACAGGAGGCGACATGGCTGAGAGGTTTCTTTACATGATCCCAACGCAGTGCAATGCTACGCGCCCATTCTGCTGCAATCTGGGAGGTTTAAATACATAGGATAAATCTAAGCGTCTAGAGGAAGGTGTGTCTATCCTGACCTAGATCGTATCATTCCAGACATTCCAAGCAATATTATGACCGCAACCCTCTACATGCTTTCCTGAAGTGCCTGATCCTGCAAGGCACAATACAGGCGGGGCCAGACTCGCGTTGCCATCCTGTTCGGAGTAGAATGCGTTATCGCCCTCTATAGATTCCAGACCATCATATCCGCCACCGCTGGCATCGGCGATAAAGCGCATCATCCGTATGCCATTTTTCCAAGATCCGTAAAGCCTAGACTTAACGGCTGCGATTTGTACCAGCCCTTCATCCCAGCCCTTCTCAAACTCCTCGCGAATGGTCTGATGTTGAATGTCGGTGATAAAGGATGCTGACGTGCACAGGGAGAGTAGCACCGGTGGTGATGGAACGATGCGTACCTTAGGAATAACTATTCCAGCAGGTACGTGAATAATATCTGGCTCTGACGCGGTAGGTTCTTCCCTGAGCGAGATAGTAGCTGTGGCGAGACCACGCCGGCCTGGTCTAATGCGTCTTGCTGCGGGCTGTGGTATGCCTGCTAGTGTAGTAGTAGTGGCTGCATTGTGCTGTAACCAAGTTTTCAACTCCTTTTCCCGTGCTTTTGCTCGCCTGACAGTTGCAGTCGCACATATCTTTCCAATGTTGTTCCATTCCGTCGCCTGCGATTGGTCTCGCGCAATACTGCATCCATCAAGAATCAGATGTTGCAGACCATGAAATCGAATCAGTATCCCCTCCATATCCGAGGCAAGAATGTTACATGTGGACAGGTCAAGAAGGCGTAATGCAGGGACAGAGGACGGGATGCTGCTGATAAATCGGGATACTTGACGAGATGGTATACGGAGACGCAGGTGGATCAATGAGCTGATATATTTTGAGCACAATAGAACAGATATTGGCTCGAGTCGAAAGAAGACGAGCGGTTGTGCAAAATGTTTCGCACTCGATATCAATGGTTCGGGAGGATCCTGGACGATAGATAGGGCTGGTAACTTGTAGGAAGGCCAACGGGAAAGTGCAGTCAAAGTAGTATCGAAATAAGCGCCCTGACGAGTGCACGTTGAGCGAAAAGTATAACATTCAACGCGAGATGTTACCTTGAGAAATTGAAAATATGTGGCTTTCTGGACGCTTCATCACACACACGTCAGGAGGGATGAACGAAAGGAATTGACAAGTTGATACTCACTAGGGGCGGAAACGTAAAGAGAGGAAGCGCAGGTCTTCCCTCGGCTCATGAAATATATCCTCAAGATGCTCTGGAGCAAAGTTGGGTCCCACGAAGAGAAGGAGAGAAGATATTCGAGGGAGGATCCCTAGTAAATTGACGAGGACATCAGCATCGACAGTCCAAGTCACGATACCAAAGTCCTTGACCCAGTTTCTCTCGTTATTGGCATTGCGCAAGCGACTATACAATTGTACGATCTGCTGGGCATGCTTGAGGTGTATGCGTTCGAATAAATGATAGATAGGCACAGGCGATTTGGGTATCGCTCTTGTCAGGGCAAGGACATCTTGTTGGAACGAGTCTGCTGGTAGGTGACTGATAATTGCACTATACAGCTCTGCAGGAAGTCTATCCAGCTGGCGCATTAGCATAGAGGTTGAAGAAGGTAAGCTAGCGGCGCTAGCTACTATAGTGGTAACGGCTGCCACCGAGTGTGACTCAGAGACTTCGTGGGACATTACTGTTCTGCTAGAGTTAAGGTCAACGATGTGATGTGGCCAAGTGATTCAACCGCCGGACGAAGTGTTCCAGAACTACTTTATACTGTGCAGTTAACACATAACGACTCGGATCACAAAGACGTTGTAACCTTGAAAGTATCTGGATGGCGCCAAAATCAAAAGGATGAGCTAGCCAAGTAGCGCGTCGAATAAAGACCCTTTGCGACGATGAACACGGTGTAGTAATAGCCGAATAGTACTAATTAAATGAGCTAATGTGACTTTCACAATATTTGTGATTGTAACGAAGCTTGCCTTCACATCAACTTTCCAACGAGACTACCCTCCAGCCACGCTGACGTCCCTTCAGCACCTTCAATTAACAACTCAACTCCTTCGGCAACCGCCTTTCTAGTGTCTTCCTTGTCTCCCCAATGCACCCGTGGCGTCCAAGTAACCAGATGTGCTCCAACATGTGCAATCGCAACCCTCGCGAGCGCTTCATCAGGCCCACTTCCTCCTCTATAAGCCAAGAGGAAGGATCTAATAATCTCGGACGTCTCCTCCTGGCGGCTTACATAGAAACGCTGAAGCAGCCGCATCTCTGCGCAGAACTGACCAATGTCTAGCCCCCGAAGACCCGCCTTCGCCACCTCCCAGTCCAGCACATAAAGCTTCTCTAACCCAAGCGTGTTCCCCTCCGAGTCTCTCCGAAGGGTTACCATGATATTCCCAGGCCAGAAGTCTCCATGTGTGAACACCTCCGTCGCGCTACCAATTTCCTGGCTGCGGGTCTCCGCTAGCTTCGAGATAACGGCCAGTTTCCCCTCAGGAATATCGAGATCGGGATCCGCCAAAGCTGCGATATTATCTCTACCGCTAAGCGTAGATATGAGGCGACCATATGTAACGAAAGCCGAGATCGTCTTGCCCATTTCATTGTTACCGAAAATACCCATATCGAAAGACGCGTCTTTGTTCCAGGCATGGACGCGCCCAAGGAAACGACCGATCGTGGCACCAATTTCTTCGGCGAGTGTCTGTGGTAGCGCCTCGTCAATCACCAACTGTTTCAGCGTACGAGCGTCCGTCCCGCAATCGTCAATGATCATGACGTGGGCTTCTTCGTCGAAGAGATGGACGTTAGGAACGGTGATGACATCGTCATCAGCGTGCATCTTGCGGACGAGCCGTAAGGCTTCCACATCGTATTTCTGCCAGGTCGTTATCAGTCTAGTTCCTGTGTAACGCCACTTCAAAGAAGCCTCACTTGGCGCTCTGTAGAAAGAGCCATCGTACCGAGTGCAGCGACGTACGGTGCTGCATACTTCAACACCAATGTTGCCCTGCCCTTGAATGAGTCGTTGGGGTATATTCTGTATGTGAAGTTGGTGAAGCCTCCTGTCAGCGCGTTTATTGTATCTGATGCGAAAGGGGTATTAGACAAATATCTTCGTACACCAGCGATGGTGGTGAGGTCAACGTCTCTCATGTCCGAGTAGATGGGTATTGCTGGGTTATCGTCACTGCGGCATCTACATACAGCCTGCCTTTTAAGCACCTATCCAAGTCATAACGTTAAGCACCCATGTTTGACTCAAGACGCTCGCTACCGATAGAAGTAGAACACGGTGCGGATCCGAGAGATGTCATGCAGTGTCGCCTTACCAACATATGTCAGCAATTGCCACGTAGCTATGAGGTGTGGGCATCCGAATCATGAAGCATACAAGAGTACAACAATTGAATTTAGTGAAATATGAATGACAACATCCAGAAGTTTGGTCGTGAGCACGTTCGTACAATAACTTTACAGCTTGTCGTAGTAGTGGTCGACAGCTGGAATTTCGGGCTAAATATCGTGTTAGTCATATTGCAGAATCGTGTGCAGTTATACATTACCTTGAGACCCTTGCGCACACGAATGCCCCTAACGAGCTCTTCCAGCTTGCTGCCCTTGTCGAGAGGAGCTAATAAATTTCATAAACATCATCAGTTTAACACGTCGCACATGCAATTACGCACATCCGTTCATGATTTCCCAGTGGTCGAACACACTCTGGGGGAAGGCTTGGCCAGCTGTTTGTGAGCGGAGATCACTGTTGAAGCCGAAGGACTCCATGACGGGGAGGTACGCCTTGACGGTGAACATGGGAGTTCCTGGCCTCTGCTCTTCGCTGAAGACCTGGCCACGACGCCTGTTCAACACGCTGTAAATACCACCGATGGCATTCTCAGGACACTGGATCTCAACTGAGAATAACATCAGTACCCAGAAAAATACGATGCGAGCGGGACGTACCGAGGTACACCGGCTCCTGGAGACCAGGGGTAGCAAGCAAACATGCTGCGTAGCAGACGCGACGGCACGTAGGAATGAGTTGTCCACCGCCACGATGGATAGCATCAGCGTGCAGCTGTTATGATCGCATAAGAAGATACAATACAAGTAGGTATGAAGTGTACTTACAGTGACATCAAGAATGTTGAAGCGGATACCACGCATGTTCTCCTCAGCGCAGACACCCTCCTTTGTTGCCCACTGGAAGGCAGCGACGCAAGAGTCCTTGATTTCGTTGAGGTACTGCACACCCTTGGTGACATCAACGAGCAAGTTGGGGCCAGTGGTATCTGGACCGAAACACCAGATCTTCCTTGCATCGGTGACATCCCAAGAGAAGTCATCAGCGAGGATACGAGCACGGGCTTTGTAATCGTCACGGGAGTTAACGGTACCAGCCTCAATAGCTTTGGTGAGGTCCTCATCGAGAGGCATTGCCTTGGCGTAGAGACGGTTGTGCTTATTCTGCGACTTGGACAAGGCCACAATCGAGGACTCAGCCTTGACAGTCTCACGGTAGCCCACGACAGGGTCAGATATCTTGAGAGGAACGCCAGCGTGGTCTTCTTGGAGATCCTACAATGTGTCAGACTAACGAAATTTAGCAAGTAGATAGCCATTTACCTTCAAGCAGATTTCCAAGTGCAGCTCACCGGCACCAGCGACAATGTGCTCACCGGTCTCATCGATCCAAGCCTGGACACAGGGGTCAGACTTCGACAGACGCTTGAGCCCTTCGACAAGCTTGGGCAAATCTGCAGCGTTCTTGACCTCAACAGCGACCCGCACGACAGGGGACACGGAGAACTTCATGACCCTCATGTTGTGTGCAGTCTCAGAGGTCGTGAGAGTTCCGCTCTTGAGCAAGAACTGGTCAATACCGACGAGACCACAGATGTTACCGGCAGGACAATCTTCAATTGGTTCGATGTAACGACCCATCATGAGCACCGTGCGCTGAACTGACTTGAGGAACATGTCTTCCTTCTTTCCAGGCACGAAGTTGGGGCCCTGGATACGGACCTTGGGGCCAGAACGAACGGTACCGGAGAACACACGACCGAAAGCGTAGAAGCGTCCCTTATCTGAAGTGGGCACCATCTTCGAGACGTAGAGCACAAGGGGGGCCTTGGGGTCACAGTCCCTGATACCAATGGCAGACTCGTCATCCATCGGACCTTCGTAGAGAGTCTCAACACGGTAGCGTTGAGCAGTTGCGGGGGAAGGAAGGTTGATGATGATCATCTCCAAGAGTGAGTCACCAGCGGGCAAGAACTTGCGCATGACGACCTTGAGGAGAGCCTTGCCCTCGAGATCATGCTCCTCAGATGTCAGCTTGACATCGAGCTTCTCGCAAATGGGACCGATTTGGTCCTTCTTGAAATTCATGACGGCGTCGAAAATCTTGAAGATGGGCTCAAGGACGAACATGTTGAAAGACCGTTCAAGGGGTTTGCCATCGGCATCGGAGTTCTTCGTACCCCACTTGCGAGTGGCAGGGTTGAAGTAGTTATCACCCCAAAGCTTAGCCAAAAGCTTGTCTTTAGGCACACCAAACTTTTTGGAGTAGCGACCAGCGAACTGGCGGAGGCCGAAAGCCCACCCATGGAGACCTGAACCGAAAGCAACGGTACCCTTGTCTGGGTAGACCTGGACGTCACCAAGGGCAGCATCATGGTAAGTCGAAACGATGACATTGACCGTCTCGATGGTACGCTGGAACGATTGATACAAGTCCTCTTTCGAAACTTGAAGCTCAAGTAAAGCACGGTCGACCTTGTTGATGATAACGACGGGTTTAATACGCTCCGTGAGTGCTTGACGAAGCACTGTCTCTGTCTGCACGCAGACACCTTCGATACAGTCGACGACGACGAGAGCACCGTCAGTGACACGAAGAGCAGCTGTGACTTCTGATGAGAAGTCGACGTGACCTGGTGAGTCGATCAAGTTGATCAAGAACTCGTTGCCTGAAGTGGTATTTCATTAGCAAGATTTTGGGATATTAAAATCAAAGACTTACCTTCAGTCTTCTGCTGGATAAGTTCAACATCTTCCTTCTCCATTTCGAAGTACATAGAGATGGCTGTCGATTTAATCGTGATACCACGCTCCTTTTCATCGTCTCGTGTGTCCGTAAATCGCATGTCACCAGCTTTTGCTGCAGCAATGATACCAGCTTTTGAGACGAGGGAGTCGGTGAGGGTAGACTTTCCGTGATCGACTGCGTAAGTAATTTAGATTAGATCAATATGCGATCATCAGCAGGATCTTGCTCACCGTGTGCAATGACGGACATGTTACGGATGTTCGTGGGCTTGTCCATGAGCCCACGAATCTGGTCTATGGTTCAAAGAATCGTTAAGAAAAAGATCGAGTTTTCTTGCACAATCTATGTGCTCACCGACTGTGAAGTTACTATGATCATACACGATGATTAGTGCATCGGAAACGTAGATCTAAGCGAATACGTACACCATCGTGTCTAGATTTTACAAGGATGCAATGAGAAAGAAAGAAAGAAACGGGATCCTTTTGAACGAGTTGGATGGTGAGTCAAATGCACACCGGGGCCGTACTCTGAGGCTCGTTGATCTTAAAAGTAAAGTTTTTGGTCTTTGGCTTATCGATCGACTTCAGGGCAGGTCACGTCACCATGCTGTGTGACTATGATATTAAAAGCACACCTACTAATAGTGCTTGTGGTATATGGTACTGGGTACTCGTGTAATCATATCCACTTTTCCTGTTCATAGTTACCCATGGCCTGTTCATTCTGGCAGTTAGCTAGTACGCAGGTCTCAGTGAACTCGCTGGTGGAAGTTGAGTCAGTCCGCACAGCACCCTATTAGTAACCCACGGGTCACCGCCGAGCTGATGAAGTCGGACTCGCAATCCTTGTCGTTGCAAAGTTTCCCTTCAAATTTAGCCTGGTTTGTGTGGAAAATGCCAAATTTATGTACGAAAGTAGATACGTGACTTATTTCAGCCACGTGATGAGTTTCGAGTCAAGATGCGATATGAATCATGATTCTAATTGCGGAAACCAAAATCTAGATGAGACGTGTGTTTCTGCACTCATCTCTCCTTCGATCAAGACGTCCATCTCATCATATTACCCTCCCTTTGCCTCTAAGAATGTCTTCCTCTTATGATGGCCCATGGACTGCACGCAAAGTGCGCGAAGAATTCTTCAACTACTTCCGCTCCAAAGATCACACTTTTGTTCCATCTTCTTCAACCGTACCCTACGATGATCCCACTCTCCTGTTCGCAAATGCTGGGATGAATCAGGTCATTTCAATTCCGTAGGCTTATGTATCAGAACTCACATCCTGTCAGTACAAATCCATATTCCTGGGTACTGTCGATCCCAATTCCGAGCGAGGCAAGCTGAAGCGCGCTTTCAACAGTCAAAAGTGCATCCGCGCAGGTGGTAAGCATAATGGTACGTGCAGGTCTATGGAAAAGGTAGCGTTCACTTTAACATTGCAAATATAGACCTGGAGGACGTTGGGAAAGACTCCTACCACCACACATTCTTCGAGATGCTCGGAAATTGGTCATTTGGTGACTACTTCAAGGTTTAGTGTTTGTTTTCCGATAGTTCGGCATAGCCGACATTTATTTTACAGAAAGAAGCTATTGAATTTTCATGGGATCTATTAACTAACGTATACGGGCTGCCCAAAGACCGATTATATGTTACCTACTATGCTGGAGACCCACAAAATGGAATACCCACCGACGAGGAAGCAAAACAGCATTGGCTAAGCCAGGGTATCTCACCAGATCACGTTATCGCGTCAAAAGGAAATTTCTGGGGTAAGGCGTGTTTTATCACCTAATGAACACTGCGACTCATTCGCATCTACAACAGAAATGGGCGCAACCGGACCATGTGGGCCTTGTAGGTGCGTATCTCCCATTTCTTATTTCCCTCCGTTGATCTTCCTCAGTGAAATACACTTCGACCGCATTGGTGGACGTAATGCTGCACACCTTGTCGATGGTGACGACCCAAACGTCCTTGAGATATGGAACAACGTCTTCATACAGTTCAACCGCGATGATGACGGCTCACTTAAACCGCTACCAAGCAGGCATGTCGACACCGGCATGGGTTTCGAACGACTTGTTTCAGTCCTCCAGAACAAGCTTTCAAACTACGACACTGATGTGTTCTCCCCGATCTTCACGCGTATACAGGAATTAACTGGAGCAAGACCGTATAGTGGAAAATTTGGCAACGATGACGTGGATGGTATTGATACTGCATACCGTGTCGTGGCTGATCACGTACGCACGCTTTCGTTTGCGCTGAGTGATGGTGGTGTGCCCAACAACGTTGGCCGTGGTTATGTCCTTCGTCGGATCCTTCGTCGTGGTTCACGCTATGTCAGGAAGAAGCTTGGTGCACCCATCGGCTCATTTTTCTCCTCTTTGATGCCCGTGGTTGTGGAGACCATGGTTAGTGAAGCACATCTATCGCATCCACTCAACCTAATTTATACCTTGTACACTAGGGTGATGCCTTCCCCGAGCTTACAAAGAAGCAAGGCGACATCAAAGAGATCCTTGACGAGGAGGAAGAGTCCTTCTCACGTACCCTTGATCGGGGCGAGAAGCTCTTTGACCAATACGCGACACGTACGAAAGATCTGGGTGTCAATGAGCTCAATGGTGCAGACGTATGGCGGCTGTATGACACGTACGGATTCCCCGTCGACCTCACACGGCTCATGGCGGCGGAGCTTAGGCTTGGAATCAATGAAAAGGAGTTCGAGGATGCCCAAGAACATTCAAAGCTCGCGAGCAAGGGATCATTCAAAAAGGATAAAGCGGATCTTGTGAAGCTTGACGTCCACGATCTCGCTGCATTGGAGAAGAACGATGCGATACCCAAAACAGATGATTCGTTCAAATTTCGTGCGTGAATTCCTACTCACAGTTCGCCCTTACTCAACCCCTTTACAGAACTCGGAAATGTCACTGCTACAGTGAAGGGCATTTACTATCACAAGGAATTCATCTCATCATCATCTGGTATACCGGCGGATGCAAACTTTGGCGTGCTCCTCGACCGCACAAGCTTCTACGCAGAAGCTGGTGGCCAGGAGTATGACACTGGCAACATCGTCATCGACGGCGCCACCGATTTCGAGGTGACAAATGTTCAGGCATACAATGGCTACGTCCTCCACACTGGTTCTCTCAAATACGGCCAACTTTCTGTTGATGATGAAGTCATCTCCTCATACGATGAGCTCCGCCGCTGGCCGCTGCGCAGCAACCACACCGCAACGCATATCCTCAATTTCTGTCTCCGCGAAGTGCTCGGCGATCACATTGACCAGAAGGGCTCGCTTGTGGCACCGACAAAGCTCCGCTTCGACTTTTCGCATAAAGCACAGATCTCTCTTCCCGAACTTGCGAAGATTGAGTCGATGAGCATTGACTGGATCAGGAAGAATGTAAAGGTATATGGCAAGGATCTAGATCTCAAGACTGCGCATAAGATATCTGGGCTGCGCGCGGTCTTCGGCGAGGCATACCCAGATCCTGTGCGTGTTGTCGTCCTCGGGTACGATGTAGATGAGGTTGCGAAGGATATTGACAACCCGAAGTGGCGGAGCACGAGTGTTGAGTTTTGTGGTGGCACTCATGTCGCGAAGACGGGTGATATCAAAGACTTTGTCATCACTGAGGAGTCCGGGATTGCGAAGGGCATCCGGAGGATAGTCGCTGTGACTGGCCAAGAGGCGCATGAGGCGTCCCGTGTCGCCAATTCTCTGAAGGTCCGCCTTGAGCAGCTCGAGTCGACGGAAGGCAAGGAAAAAGATACCGGGCTCAAGGTTCTTAGTGTGGTAAGTCATAAGATGTTTTTCTTCCACTGTCTGTCGACTGATGTTTTTGCAGGAACTTGGCCAGGCAGATATATCGGTCCTTCTGAAAGCAGAGCTCAAAGACCGTCTAGCGACTCTTCGCAAGTCGCTTGATAAGCAAATCAAAGAGAAGGAGAATGCGATAAACAAGGCGGTATGCCCTTCTATTTGTTGTTATTGTATGTCGATTGATGTATCGGCAGGCCATGAACGCTTTGGTCACCTTCTTCGAGGAGAAGCCTGATTCAGAGGTCTACTTTGCCATTCTTGAGGTTGATGGTAATGCAAAGGTATGTTGTAACAATAGTCCACAAAAGGTGATTATGCTCAACATGATGTCCAGATTTTGCAAAACGTTGTCATGCAAGGCAAGAAGCTTGGTAAGACGGTCTACGTTTTCAGTGTCGACGCAGAGGGTGGCAAGGTCGCACATGCAAACTATGTTTCTGAGTCTGCACGGTCAAGAGGTCTCGATGCACGAACATGGGCATCCAAAGTAAGCGATATCCTCGGCGGAAAGGCTGGTGGGAAGGAGGATGGTGCTCAAGGTGTTGGGGTCAACGTCGCCCAGGTTGAAGAGGCTCTGAAGGTCGCGCGGGTGACGTTTTCAAGCAAGTATAACTAGCGATTTCTTTATGCAATGAACATCCAGCTATAGACGTCTATCCTTGTTGTAATTCAGACAATGCATTGTACAATGTACTGGGGCGGGCTCTGCTCCAAAATATTTTTTTATGGTACAGCCTCGAGTAAGCACAGCTAAATAGGGGTCCACAGCCACATGACAACACGGAAGTTTCCCATTTATGTATCCGTCTAAACGGTGTAACCGCCTTTCTTGTCTACCTACATTTTGCGCTTTCCTTTGACTGATTAGCGCCTCACGAACTTGGCAGTATCATCTTTCTGACGCCCTCCTTTTCCTTATGAGTTTCATTCGACCAGCTACTCCTGGCTTCCTGATAACCCTCATAGCCACCATCTTGTTGGGTGTTGTATCCTTTTCTGTACCCCTCATAAAATCTATATACTTCCTCAAGGCAAGCCTTGCCGTCGAGGGCACCAATGGTTACATCACGTTTGGAACCTTGGGGTATTGTTCGGATATCTCAGGGACAGTCTCATGTTCTAGTGCAACAGTGGGGTATGAGCTCAGTAAGTCAACTTCTAAACCCTTGTAGCATTCATATTGACATTTGCCTTCCCTGGCGTGTGTAGACATCAATGCCTTGGTAGGCGATAATACGGCTCTCCAAATCCCCACTGTAGTTGTAAAATGGCTCACCTATGCCCTCGTCCTGCACATTGTGGCTTTTGGCCTCGCAGGGGTAGCCGCCGTCTTTGGTCTACTCGCTCACATTCGTGAAATGGCCATGACTTGCTTCAGTAGCTGCATATCTGGATTTGCCGCTACTGTCGCCCTTACTGCTTTCATTTTTGA